GAATTTTTTTCCCTGCAGAAGCAAATTGGATCGTGCTTTGCTGGGGGTTTTTTTGCCTTCCTCTGGATCAACTGTGGGTATAGGATTGTAACCGTTTTTTTTTCTATGGTTGAACTGGATGGGCTTTTGTCTTTTGTCAGCCAGACTATGTAACTATATGGATACTAACATTTATAGGTAAAGTTGATCCAGGGAATATCCAATTGCTTCTCGGGAGATCAGCAAGAATTTTTTTCTCCTGCAGGAGCAAATTAGACTTCCTGCTTTGCTGGGGTTTTTTTGCCTTCCTCTGGATCAGCTTTGGGTATAGGAATTTTTTTTTTTTTTATAATTGAACTAGATGAAGGCTTGTCTTTTGCAGCCAGACTAACTATGTAACTATAGTGCAGCAGACAATCTGACACTTACCAACTCTTTGTGGGAACTGGCTGACACTGACATCACCAGTGACACTAATACAGTGATCAGTGCTCATAATATACATTGTCACTGTACTAATGACACTGGCTGGGAAGGGGTTAACATTTAGGGGCAATCAAAGGGTTAACTGTGTGTCTAACAATGTATAATATGTTTACTGTGTGTTGTGTTTCACTAAGCAATGTGCCGGGTTTTACTCCCCCTGCTTTGTAGGGAGAAAAAAAATTGCATGTCACTGCTGTGAGTAGAGAGCAGAGCTCTCTCCTGTCATCTTCTCCACTAATCAGCAGGTCCCACCTATAAATCATTGACTGGAGTGAATGGCAGCACAGCTGGGGCAGCGCATGTGCCACTTACCCATAAGAGCCGGATCATCTACATGGCTGGGATCCAGTACAGAGAGGCCATCTTGCCCCAGTGTATATATATATATATATATATATATATATACACACACACACACACACACACACACACACATATACGCACACACACACACACATACATACATGCACACATGTGGTGATCGGCCACTATTTAAACAAAACAGGAAGTCTAAAGTGAGGGAATTCTGGTTGTCACCAGAATTAGTGTCCACATTGCAAGATTTTTTTCTCAATTCCTGTTATGGTGACAGCCCAAAATTTGGGATTTTCTTTTACTTCAACAGTCAGTGATAACGGTAAACAGGCCAAATAGAGAAGGGGAATCTCTAGACAGTATTGAAAACCCAACTGCTGTTCTAATCCCTCTCCACTCTATCCAAAATAAAAACAATTACCTACTTTGAAACAAGTAAGCTGGAAGTAAAGTCAGAACCAGTGATGTACTGAATGTACACGAGTTTGGCTCAGGGTATGTTTGGGAACTCAGACACCGAATCAAATTCAATCTTAGAAATCAATAATGGCCATTTTCTAGGCTAAAAGGCAGCATATTGGCAAATAAAAGGACATTGAGAGCTTAGCAGTGCCCTTGGAAGATATGTACCCCAAAAAATTGGCTCTGGCTGGGCACTCCAGGATATTCACAGAGTTGGCTCGTAGCCACTCCTTTGTTATGTGGGCTGTGTGCTTAGGGTTATTGTCCTGTTGAAAGATGAACCGTCACCCCAGTCTACGTCTTCAATGCTGCAGAAATGTTTAATGTGGAACCATGTGATCTGGTGCAGGCAAATGCACTGCATTTGCAATTTACATTTGGGGTGTCATTAGGAATATATTGACACCTGTGCATAAAGTACACCCTGTGCATTTTGAATGCAGTGCAGGAAACGGAACGTGGGTTTCCAGCACCTCATTCTGGTGTGAACCCTTAAAGCGGAACTGAACTCCCCACTATACTCACCTCTACCTTGCAGCAAAGCGATAGTTATATCCATTGCCTGTCACCTTCTCGTAAGTGCTGTTTTTCTGGCCCCTTTATTGGCTGGGAAGGGGTGAAATCAGGGTTGCCATTCCTCCATGACTTTTTTTTACTGAAAAAACATGGAAAATTAACTGACGGAGCACATTTTTACTGATATCCTGAAATATGATTGGGGCTTTGAGTGGTTATACAGGGATGATGCCTGCCAGTTTTTTTCTGTCAGTGATGGACTTTTTTGTAATATCAATCCTAGCGGCTAATTAGCCGCTGGATCGCTTTTACACAGGTGGTGGAAGGGGATCCCCCCACTGACTTCCCAGGCTTTCTCATCCCACTGGCGAGCCCGGGACTGCATCTGGCAGTTTTGCTGGCTGACCAGAGAGATGACTGAGGACCGGAATGTTCCCGATCATGTCTATGTTCTTAGAAACCAGAAGTGGTGGGTATTTTGGCACTTATGATTTTGCAGATGTAAACAAGCCATTACTGGCTTGGGAGAGCATTGAATCAAACCAATCTTGGTTTGATCCACTGCTCTTAAGGGCTTTAATAGACCCCAGATCTCTCAATAAAGACTACCTGTCACTGCCCAGGCTACCACAAGGGAGGTGGTTCATCCCTTATTATCATAAATAAAGTCAATGAAAAAAATGTAAAGAGACAGTGTAAAATAAAAAAAAATTCAATTGAATATTAAAATGAAACATTTTTTTTTTTAATGCACCCCATCCACCATGCTTCCATCCAAAGGGAAATGCACATGCTGGTCCCGCATGCATACGTAAACAGCAATCACACCACATGCGAGGTATCACCGTGAGCATCAGATTGAGAGCAATAATTCTAGCACCAGACCTCCTGTGTAAATCTAAAGTGGTAACCTGTAAAGGCTTATAAAGCGTCGCCTATGGATAATTTAATGTATGTCATTTGCCGCCGTTCCATGGGTGGGCAGTTTTAAAGAGTGACAATTTTGGTATCTATTCAGTCGGAATAACATCATTTTTTATGTTTTACAAAAAAATTGGGTATTTGTGTGCACTAAGATTCATTAAAGTGTATTTTATAAAAAAAAATTGCATTTGAAAAACCACCGCTCTATAGAGAAGAATGGAGGGTTCAATCGGGCCCACCTGAAAAACTGACAGGTAGACCTGATCAATCTGCCCATGTGAAAGGGACCTAACAAGCAATTCGCCTGGCTGTACAATTAAAAAGTAAAAAAAGTGTGACAAAATGTGAATGTGATGAGGCATATGAAAGGTCTGGGGCATCCAGAGATAAACCAAAAAAATACGTTTTTACATCAGGCTTCCCAGAGAACCCTTTATATCAGAATCTACAGAGTTCCCTTTTAAATCAGAGTTTTAATCCAAGTCTCCAACATTCCCTCCTTACATTAGAATCTGCAAAGTTCCACCTTATACCAGCGTTCCCAGAGCCCCCCTAACATCAGAGTACCCAAAGCACCCCCTAAATCGAAGTCCCCGTCTTTCCTTTTGTACATCAGAGTCCTCCCTTATATCAGAGTCTACAAAGTTCCTCCTTACACCAGAGTTCCCTATTACATCAGAGTGCACAGATTTCCTCCCTAAATAAAGTCCCCAGCATTCCCTTGCAATCAAGGTTCCCGAGAACCCCTTACATCAGAGTCCCCAGAGTTCTCCCTTACAACAGAATCCACAGACTTCCCCTCTAAAACAAAGTACAATCAAGGCTCCCAAAGCCAGTTTTACAATGAATCTACCCTACCGTGTGCTATAGTGAAACTACAGTATTAACTGTCTTCATGATCACAATGTCATGTAAAACGAAATAAGCCAATGAATGAAAAAAAGGGGGGTAAAGAATTTTGAAGAGCCATCTGCTTTATCTAGACAGTGGCCTCATACATATATAATAAAAAAATAGACAATAGTATGATATGATAAGATAATAAACACAATGAATATAAAAATAAAAACAACGGAGTGTAACATACCTCTCTAATAATAAAAACATAGAAATCAAATGGTGTAGTGAGCACCATAAAATAATGTTAATATTAATAAAAATATGATGAAGATAAAAAATTAAAATGCCAAAAAAGTAGAATAGGATACCCTAAATATGTAAAAAAAAACAAGATAGATGTAAAACATAGGAAGATGTATATATAAATAGTAGTATTAATAAAGGTAACTAAAAATGATAACAATAGATTAGAATGCCACAAAATAGAATACCATAAAATCTCATAAAAACTAACATAAATAGATGTACAATGAACCACAAATATAACTGGAATAGAAGTTGATAAAAGGCAGGGCTCTAATATAGACCAGAGTAAAAATAAAGATTACAAATCAGCTGTTATCTATAAAACAATATCTATGTCTATATTGTACTAGGGTCGTTGGTTCGAATCCCCAGCCACGGCACCACCTGCCTGGAGTTTGCATGTTCTCCCTGTGCCTGCGTGGGTTTCCTCCGGGTACTCCAGTTTCCTCCCACACCCCAAAGACATGCTGGTAGGTTAATTGGATCCTGTCTAAGTTGGCCCTAATATGTGTATGTATGAATGTAAGTTAGGGACCTTAGATTGTACACCCCTTGAGGGTTAGGGACTGATATGAATGTACAATATATATGTGTAAAGCACTGCGTAAATTGACGGCGCTATATAAGTACCTGAAATAAATAAATATATTGTGGCCTGCAGGGGTTAATGTCCTCATGTCATAGATCCACTTGGTTTCCATTTGTGACACAAATCTACTTTTGTTGGACCCTCGCCAATAGTTTTGGATAAGATCTATGCCGTTTATTGTGTTTTAACCACTAGCCTACAGGGCACTTATACCCCCTTCCTGCCCAGGACAATTTCCAGCTTTCAGCGGTGTTGCACTTTGAATGACAATTGCGCAGTCATGCAACACTGTACCGATATGAAATTTTTATCATTTTTTTGTGACAGATAGAGCTTTATTTTGGTGGTATATAATCACCTTTGGGTTTTTAAACAAACCAAAAACCACTGAAAATTTTGAAAAAAAAAATGTTTTTTCTTAGTTTTTGTTATAAAATTTTGTAAATAAGAGATTTTTCTCATTCACTGATGTGTGCTAAGGAGGCTGCACTGATGGGCCCTGATAGGCTGCACTGATGGACACTGATAGGTGACACTGATGAGGAGGCACTGGTAGGTGGCACTGATGGGCATTGACAGGCATCACTGATGGGCACTGAAAGGCAGCACTCAAATATGGCACTGATAGGCGGCACTCATATATGGCACTGATAGGCGGCACTGATGCACACTGATAGGCGTCACTGACTGGCACTGAGGCGGCACTGCCTGGCACTGATAGGTGGCACTGATTGGCATTGATAGGTGGCACTGACTAGCATTGATAGGTGGCACTGATGGGTGACACTGAAAGGCAGCTCAGATAGGCACTGATATGTGGCATCGATGTGGCACTGATGGGCACTGAAATGTGGCACTGATGGGCACTGGCTGGTGGCATGGATGAGCACTGAGAGCTGATACTGATGGACACTGACAGGTGGCACTGCTGGGGCTACACAGATCATCAGGGCACACTGATCATCACTGCTCTGATGATCTGTGTACATGTCCCCTCTGAGGGATGCCGATTACCGGCTCTCCTCTCCTCACGAGCTGTCAGCATGACAGCTCGAGGGGAGAGAAATGCCGATAACCGGCATTTCCCTGTTTACATGTGATCAGCTGTGATTGGACACAGCTGATCACATGACCGAGCCGACATCTTCGGCTCTTTACATGGATCGGTGATCCGCTGTGTCCGAGGGACACAGCGCACCGCCGATCGCCGTGCTGCGTGCTCCAGGAGCCGTGCATGCGTGGTGTGAATGGGGAGGACGTCATATGATGTCCTCCCAGAACAAGAGAACCGCCTTGCGTCCGTCATATTACTATATGGCGGGCGGGAGGCGGTTAAAAGGACGAGACTGAGTAGGACCTCCTGTCCTTGTCTAGGCAGCCATTGCCTATGATGACCCATCCTAGGTCCAGACGCTGAGCATATGGTGCATTGTGTGGACCGTTGATTTGATGACGAACTTTGTGCACCCTTAGGATGTCTCGACCGAGTAATAGCAGGATATCTGCACTTTCATCGAGGGCTGGTATTCGGTTGGCTATACGCTTTAAGTGAGAATGGTGAAAAGCAGCTTCAGGAGTAGGGATCTCCTCTTTGGTGTTTGGAATCTGATTGCACTCAGTGATAGTGGGCAAAGATATTTCCACATTGTCATTCAGAGGAGTAACTACAAGACCACTGGCTCTTCTGCCTAAGACTTCTGTAGTGCCAGAACAAGTGCTTAGAGTATAAGGCAGAGCATCTCCAGTTATGTTCAACAGTTCAAAAAATTGTGTTTTTGCAAGAGATCTGTTACTCTGATCATCTAGAATAGTATACTGTCTTATGGCCTTTTCAGGTTGACCTTTGGGGTCTACATGTACCAAGCATATCTTTGCACAGGATTTGTCATAGGATCCTTCTCCACAGACCTCTGTACATGTAGAGAACACTGGGGTGGTAGGTGCTGCTTAATCTGGGCGCTCCCCGCCTTGCTTTGCCTCAGGAAGATTGTTTGTGAGCATAGTAGATGTGTGCGAATATTGATGAAGAGCTTGCACATGGTCTTCACTGTCACACTCTATACATTTGATGATCGCTTTACAGTCCTTTGCAAAGTGTTCTGTGGAGGCACAGCATTTGTAGCAAACCCCATATTTCTTCAAAAGTTCCTTACGTTCTTGGAGGGTTTTTTTTCTGAAGCCAATACATTTCTTCAGTGGATGTGGTTTGTTATGTATTGGACATTTGCAATTTGGGGCCTCAATTTTCTTATTTTGATCAGTCTTTTCAAGAACTGTAGCAGGCGCAGGTACAACATTAGTCCTTTTCACTAACGCTGGACCTCTATGGTCTCTGTGCAACATACGTGTGTTTGTAGGTCTTGGAGAGAGTGTATTGAGAAGGTTACAGTCCCCATATGAGAAACTTGGGTCATTCTTAGTGTCTGCAATTCTTTTGATGAACTCGCAGAAGTAGGAAAAAAGGAGGAAAGGAAACTCTATATTCTTCCTTATACTTTGATCCAAGCGCTGCCCATCTTTCTTGAATTCCATATGGTAGCTTGACAACAATAGATTTGATGCCATGAGAGGTGTCAAGGTAACTGAGACCAGGTAAGTTTATGTCAGCCTTAGCAAGTCGAAGCTCTAATAGAACATCGCTGAGTTCTTGAAACTTTAGATTGTCGCAAGCAGAAACCCTTGGGAAGCTTTGCAACCTTTTAAATAAAGCATCTTCAATGGCCTCTAGGCTGCCAAAGGAATGTTCAAGTCTGTCCCAAGCAGCATTAAGGCCTGCAGCAGGGTTGTCAATATGAACTGCTTTGAGCCTCTTAATGCGTTCAATAGACTGGGGACCTAGCCATCTGATGAGCAGATCTAATTCCTCTGTGGCATTGATGTCTAGGTCACTCGTTGTGGCCTTAAAAATGGATTTCCAGCCTCTGTAATTTTCAGGCTTGTCATCAAACTTGGTAAGGCCTGTCTTAACAAGCTCTCTGCGGAGCATGTATTTAGCAAACTGTGACATGTCCATGTTTTCAGATTTTGGGTGCATGACTGCAGGTGGAACAGAGTTGGCTGTGATGGTTGGTGGACTTACGTGGAGTGATTTGGGAACATATGTTGCTGCTAAGTCATTCAATGCCAGAACTGGCTTTAAGTCCATTGGCATGTTGGTTTGTAGGGTAGTGTGTTTGCTAGGAGGTACTCTGTTGGTGCCAAAGTAAGGTGGACGGTCCATTACATACATACCTGTCAGGAATGGACTCAGCACTGGTGGTGGGACTCGCCTGCCGTGTGGGCTGCAGTACCAGAGCTGACCAGCGGGTGCTCTCAGCAATGGACTCAGCACTGGTGGTGGGACTCACCAGCCGTGTGGGCTGCAGTACCAGAGCTGACCAGCGGTGTGCTCTTAGCAGCCAGAAGCTCACAATCAGCCAGACCTAAGGCATGACCAGGCCTGTGCTCTGGGCCTTGGTGTATGTTTTCCCATGAGCCTCTGTACCTGTATTCCTGCTTCGTTGCTGACCCGGCTTGATCCT